GCCTTAACGGTTGCCCATATTGCCCAGCATGCATGCCCAGATTGTCCACGGGTTGCTAAATGAGACCGTCCCTTTCTTATATTAGTACCCGTTCCCTGTCTTATAATTAGACCAGGGCAAATTTCTCGAGATTGCACCATCATTTTGGGCTTAAAGCTTCCAAAGTCCAACAACAACAGCGCATGTTCGCGACGGTTTTTTAAGTCAGTAAAGTTCTTAAGCCAGACCTTAAACGGCCAGTTTTAAGTGTTCATAACAGTTAAAAAGGCATACAAGCCTCATGCAAAAGACAGTGGGAAGGAAGTGCACATCGGTGATGGGGAAAAAGGAGTAGCCCACAGTTATTTAGGGGTGGATCTTTCGAAACATTCTTATACTCTTGGACAGATATGCATTGTTTAAAGTTTTAGACAAACCAGGTGTAAATTTATAGTAACAAACTGTTAAATATACATCAGCAAGATTTTTGCGAATGCTATTTTTCGCTGGAGACTATCGTTTACTGGCTGGTCACGCAATCAAAGGTAACGTACTTTCCTACGTTTGTTTACTCACCTTTCGCTCAGCAATACACTGCGTTCCACAAAGGATCCAACTTGCGCTAGAAATGTTTTGCTATTCGGCCCACTTTTTATCTCAGGTAAGGCACTGCAAGGCTGATTCACTTACGAAGATTCGAGGGAGAATTATTTCTTGATGTTATTCTGATTTCGCAGTCACGGGAAAACAGACCTAGACTCAGGTCCACTCGCAGACGCCATGCTGCAATCTACAAGATCTCAAGAACAGAAATTACCCATTGAACGGCCTCTCCTTTTGAAGACTGCGAGTATTTCATTAAAACAGGTACATATTCAAAGAATCTTGTTAGTTTCGCCCTTTTAACGAGCTCAAATCGATGCATAAAACTAAGGTGACGTGCACGTGTCAACTGACCCTGGGGTCAATTAGCGGTTCTTTGGGGCAAAATAACCTCAAAATAATCAATCTATTTTACAAGCGTTCGCGGGAACACCAGACTAACTTTAGGATAATGTTGAAGTACTATATCTCATTAGGTACTAAGCGGGATTTGGGGTGATTTGGAGAATTCCCCCATTCAGAAAATTCGATTTTGGTTTTAGCGGTAAATTGTTGTATTTATAAGCATTATGCAAATTACGTTTCAAAATTCTGCTGGTTCGTCGATATTTTATGCTCTAAATCTAAAAAATGTGCCGTTCAGAAATTGTTAGATATCTGCTTTTTGAGATTTAAGCGGAAGATTGCCAATATATTCGCTCGTTTATGAAAGTCAGCTCATTTCTGTCGCTAGGCTATATTGCCGTGTTCGGCGGCTAATTTTAGGCCCGCGGACCGTTGAAATCGAAAATCTTAAATAATTCCCAAACTCGGCCGCATTTTGAAATTTAAACCTCAGCAGTGTTATAAACTCATTAAAACCTTATTACAGACTGAAAATGAGGGTAAGTTAGGTTTTGAGCTGTGGCCACGATTTGCCGATTTTGCTCGATTTTTCTGTGCATTCGCTCTTAAGGGTTGCGTACAGCGAAACCTCTATTTAAACTGTGTATCATTTTAAGAACTTTTTTCAAAAGATATCGTATGGTTCGGTGTCAAGTGCTTTTAATCGGAGGAGACATTGGCCAGCGTCGGACGTGTAAATGGAACATTTTGTTTTACTGGTGCGAGTTATATAGCCTCCCCCGAAGGCGTTTTAGGGGAGGGAAGAAATACGATCTCCCCTAAAAACGCCTGCGGGGAGGCTACGAGTTATAGGGCGCAGTTTCTCAAAGGCCGATTAGTTCTTAACCCAGGATTCTTTTTCTTTCTTCAAAAACATTTCTTCGGATAATTTTCTCTGATATTTTTAACAGCATCCAATCATCAACTTGTTGACAAAATGAATTACATTGAATTTACTGGTTTAAAAGCTTTCACATCTGAATTCAAACTTCGCACTAACCCTATCAAAGCCTTCAATGGAACGTGTGTGCGGCTCACGTCAATAACTTTTCCAGTAATTTGGTCGAGCGTGTTGATTTCAGTGACTCGAGAGTGGCGCTACTGTGGGCTGATTTATAAGTTTTTCCTAATAAATAACATAGAGTTAAAGTGTTCGTTTGTCCGGTGCCGAAAATATCACAAGTCATGGTCAAATGGCGCCGCCGAGCTTCACATCTCGGTAGATTTACTTTGTGGCACAACGGCTGACGAGCTACAAAACTCGTAAATTTACTTTGTGACAAAACGGCCGCCGAGCTACACAACTCGGTAAATTTACTTCGTGGCATAACGGCGGCCGAACTAAACCCGGTTTGATGCATGCACCAGTAGTCGCAGACATTTTCCAAAGACAGTGGCGAACCATGCTGAAAAATATGAAGGCTTAATCCAAAGTAAAATTTAACAGCAAAATCCTGAAAGATGAACGCTTTGGACGATTCAGCAATCAGAGATCGATGTACGCTTTACGAAGATTCAGCAAACGTTTTAAAAGATGAACGCTTTACGAAGAATATCAGACCTTAGCAAACCTTTGAAAGATGAACGCCGAGGACACAAGAATCACTCATGAGTTAGCACGTCAAAGTGAGCCAAAACGTAAGCAAGCTCCGCAAAGCGAGGCAAATGTGTGTCGACGACGACGACGAACGAAAGTGAAATCTCAAAAAAACCTCCCTTATTAATCGCACAGGTCAGCCAATAATGCACAGAACACCCAACACAAATTAGGGGTTGCGTTCTGGTACCTCGAACGCAATAATTACTCAGGCTTACCATTCGAGACGCACTGAAAACTATCAAGTAAGGCCAGAATCGCTTCAGACGTTTCAACCCTCTTACGCATCAAGCAAGGTGAAAAACGAAAACGATGCCATCCGAAATCAGATTTCCGACTTTGACAAGCGACGTATAAACTTGCCATGAATAACAGAAGACTCTTGATAGCAGCTGAATTTCATTTTGTACATTCAGTGGAAAAAGACAGTTAAAAACATCACAAGTTGACACAAAACTCTGTCAGCTTCAGCTGTCAAAGTAAACAAGTTTCAAGATGCTGCATAAATTTTCCGCATGAACTCACCTGTCAAGTTTTGACCAATCAGAGCATAAAAATTGGACGTGGAGTGTAGAAAAGTCAAAAGAAACTGGCATGTCTTCCCTGCCTGTGAAAACTGGCTGAATTTTAGCTTCCGAGGTCAGTTTGAAATCAAAATTTTAATTTTGCGGCACATTTAAAACACAACATATTTCATATAAATTAAAAAAAAAATAACTATGGGCCTGCAATCATTTGAAAACTAGTAACTTTTCAGCGGATAACTTCAAAAAGATACTCGACCTCGATGGGTCGACACCTGAGCCCGCGATACGGTCAGGTGATACTGGTCAGCAGATGCCCTGTTTTGACAGCTGTCAATTGATCACAACATTGATGTGCAATATGTGTGCAATATCACTCTTCCTGTGCTCCCAAACTAGCTAGAAAGTGTGAGATTGAACATTGGTTGCCCTGTGGTGAGGACGGACGGGCGGGCAGCGGGTGGTGTACGGTCACGTGATTATCAAATTTTCTGGGATGGGTAGATTTACTTACCCATGGTGCTCCGCAGGCTCGCTTCGCGCGCCAGAGCTCCGCTATGATGATGATATTGATGATTATTTATATCAAAGCCGCTCATGATGGGCCACCACAATAACACAGAATAATGTACTCTTCATTTGCAACATCCAGGCATAGCTTGATTGACACAATGGCGTAATTTGATGTCCCTATGAAGTCATTTTGTAGAATTTATTGACAAAATCCAATTCCATAATATTTCCATCAAAGCAAAAATTACTCAAATAGTAAGGTGTCTGACAAAATCAAGAAGCTGGCAAAACACATTAAGTATCTTAAACAATAGCAGTGATGTCATGATAAAACGATTCAGTGTTAGAAAAGGATTTGGAACCATCCGCCATCTTTAATTCGCCATTTTAATTAAATTAATTGTATTCCATTTTACTTGAAACCCGCATAAATCGAGGTAATCGTTATAGAAAAATTGATCTGTGCATAAAACAATGATTAAAAAGCAAAAAAACCTAAGTTATAAAACTTCGAGGGAAGTTATCTCTGTTAAAAATTGAACACAGCATCTGCCATTTGGTCCTTTTAAATTAATATTTTTTCTCAAATCAAGCAATTAAGAACTTGGGTTATACTAACAGTTATAATAAATATAATTAAATATTGCTGAATTAAGGGTAATGCTCAAATGCAATTATTGAAAAAAAATAAATAATTTTTTAGATGAAACGAGCAAATTTTGAAAAAAAGTGGCTGTCAAGACGCGGCTGGCATAGAAACGTCAATGTTGACGTACACATGACGACTAGTCTTAAGTGTTTCCAGATACCGTCAAACCTCTATTAAGCGGTCACCCTCGGGAATTAGCCAGGTGACCGCTTAATAGGTTTTTGTAAAAATCAAGCCCATTGGATTTTGGAAAGGTTTAAAATAAAAGGCTGGCGAAATGATGATCAGAATGTCTCAGTATGTATATAATAAACACAACACCCCATGCAAAGTGCTTTGTACGATGTTTACGCACTCGTTTTTGTATCAGAAATTGAACGAGTGAGACTATGAAGTATTCTATAGACCGTTTTTACTCACGTGGCCAGCTATACAAATTCATTGGGACAAAAGAAAGCGTTTACATTAGAAAAGAGTTCAACTCCCACAGGATTTGTTGGGAACACCAACATGGCTGCCGTTTTATTGTTTTGGAACACCAAAATGAGCGCCGTGACGTCATCTGAAAACGTTCTATATCTATGGCTGGAATATTGACTCGTAGTTTTACATGTACGGAAACCATGAAAATTTTTCCCTAGAGTACTTGAAACAGAAACAATTTCTTCTTGAATGTATGATTATCTTGACATTATTTTCTTGCTTTATTAAGGCCGGTGACTCGATCATATTAACACACGATATTTCAGAACGGCGCACCTTTAATTTTCTCATCTTGGCAATTTCTGTATACATCATCATAATTATAATTGTATATTACGTAAGGATTTCATATAATGTTGTTCTCTCATCCAGGTCATTACATTTCGTAAGTTGTGATCTTACTGATACATATTATTACGCCTTATCTGAAAATTAATGTGATCAGTCGACTTTATACATGCCAAAATATGTGTGATTAGGCCCGACCCACAGTTTCACAGAACCATAGCCCTTGAAAGGTTTCACAAACACTCTCTCCCCTGTATTTAGCTTGAAAATTCCTCCTGCCGAGGCCGTTTCCTCAGTGCTGGGTTGCATGGACTTATGGATCATTAGCAGAATTCTCTGGCCAGTGAATACACCCACACGATTTCTGGTAGCCATGGGCTCAGAATTGAAGTACAACTGAGTATAGACATAGTACCGGCCGCTAACAGGTACAATTAGCTGAGAGCCGCCGAACTCAAATCCACCGGCAATGTGGCTGTTGGCATGGCTTAGGTCCCACGCACTAATGGCTAAAAAAGAGGAGATAAATAAAAAAAAAATTGTTATGATTCCTGCTATCTTCTATCATTGAGTGATAAAGTGATTCTAGATCGCATCATTTGTGCTCTATGACGCATTATTTTTGTTTCCCATTAAAAAATGACAGGTGTAAAAGCGTGCCTATTCCACTTTTCAACAAAACCGGTAACTAAATCAATAAAATATTTGCACTGCAACTAAATTATGAGAATTTAAAATGGCTTTAATGAAGTGGTTATTGAACTTTGTATCGTGCAATTGTGGGCAGTTCTCTACTTGTGATTTCAAATCAAACTCGCGCTGTGCGCTCGCCCGCTAATGATTTTAAAACCATTGACTTATAATGTGAGGCAAAATTAATATACTCCACTCAGTTCAATTACCATTATTAAATTTAAACCCTTCTACGAAAGCCATGAGCTGGCTCGTTTGCCCAGAATGTTAGAAGTAAGTAACGGTTAGTCTTGGTAGCTTTTGCGTGAGCTCGCGTGCATGTTGACTTTCCTAGGGTTGATTTTCACTGTCGCGCAATTTTTCAGTGCGAACGCACGTAAAATTTACTCGCGTAAATGAAACAGAGGCAACGTATGAGAGGCCACGCGTAACGAAACTTTTACGTTTACATGTGATCTTCCATACATTACCTCTATTTTATTAACGCGTGTGAAATTTACGTAAGTGCTGGATGTATGTCGAACAAGCCAGGCAGCTATATTTTTTCTGTTTTTGACATTAGTTATTTCGTAAAGTTGGATTTTTTTAGTTTCTTCTGAGGAAGGTAGGGTTTGGTTATTTTTAAAGAGGTTTCGTATGTAAGCTACCTGTGTCTTCAGGATAGTACACAGGTCTTGGATCTCCGCCCTCGATGTGAGCTGATGGCACAACGTTCTGCTGTTAAAGGATCAATGTTAGTACAAAATATATAGTAGATATTAATAAATGAATAAATGAACATTTAATTTTCCTCTCCCTGTTAAGGAAATTTCAAACATTGGAGACAACCTAAGAATCCCAGCTAACTCATGGCTAATCAATTGCCTCTTACAAATAAACATGGATAAGAATTTGAAGTCGTGAATAACCAGGTTATTTCCTCTGTTTTGCACTGAGCAACTCCAATGTACAAAAATGAGATCTATATTTGCCGGATACTAGAACAGCAATTTTTTTTTTTGCTGTTTTGAGCAACCACAGCAACAACTTTTACTGAGTGGACATGCATAAAAATCCCGAATTGTTGATCTAAAACTGACTCCTCCTCCTTACTCTGTCATTTTATCGCTGATTTTTACATCTCTTTCCGATGATCGATTCGAGCTTATGCTTTCCTTTCCCTGGAAAGTTCGAAAAAAATCGGAGAGGGAATTAATTATAGAGCTGATCTGACAGGAGGTTCGAAAAACCGAGGGTTCGAGAGATCTTGATTCTACAGTAATTTGTAATTACAATAAAATAAATTACAGATATTTACTGGAATATGCACAGAAAAATATCCTCAATATCCAGGTGCACTGACAAGATTGTTTTTTAACTTTTTTTTCCTCGCATCTCTTAATTTCATTTTGGTTTTCCTTACATGGCTTGAAACAAACTACACCTAAAACCGAGTAAAATTGTGTAAGATTTGATTTGAAATGAGTTGGTCATGGATAGAAATAAGTGAAAATGAGGGAGTCAATCAGTGACTCATGAAGAGAAACGGGTAGAACGGATAAGAGTAAAATAAGTAACGAATCAGTAAATAAGAGTAAAAATAAGTAAATGTAACATAAAGGTAAGCAAGAATAAGAAGTGACTCTCCGGCTGGTAGGCAGATACTCGAGGGGTCCCCTCATGGCGCCTTGCGGTAATTCTCTCGCGCTCGATGTAAAGGTGTTCGGCCTGAGAAAAGTTGATCGTTAGATTCACTTACACAACGTGATGGAACTGACGCCATGAGGCAAAACAAAGTGAACACTGTCGAGAGAAACATGATTCCAGCCAGTGCGTTCTTGTTAGTGGCTCTGGAATTAAGGAGAGAGAAAGAGAATATGAGAACAGTTCATTTCGCATGCGTGTTAAAACACCAAAGCGGACTCTGAAAAGGAGATTTGGTATTGGATGAAGAAAGCGTCCCTGTCCCTTTATTCATACCACAGAGAAGCCAATGGAAAATTTTACACTCACCAGGTCTAGGGTTAGTGTCGAAATAAGCCAGCCATTTTCCTTGTAATATACATGACTTTCTTTTTAAAGTCAATCAGACATCGGTCAGAACGGAACACGCACTGCTGACCAAGGTTAAAGTTGAAGTTACGGCTAACCAGTTGGATCCCAGACTCATTTTTTCAAAATCGTTTTGAACGACTATTTTTTTGAAGAACAAATAACCGACAAATAACGCTTAAGCCCGGTTTCCATACAATTGCTTCGATTGCTGAAAAAACTTCAGCTATCGTAGTGATCATATGGAAACTACTCTCCAGGGATAGTAGCGATCGCAGCGATCATATCAATCGCAACGATCACTGAAACTATTTTTTCAGCGGCCGCAGCGATCGTAGCGATCATATGGAAACCGGGTTTCAGGAAGACCCACCTCAGGTATGCGTCATATGTTTCACTTGAAAGTTTGCAGAGTTCGGCTCCTTTCACAGCTTTTACCCCTCTATTTTCTTATTACTCAAAAAAGTAAATTGGACGTTCTGTCGGGGAAATCTGTTTTTCGCATCCGAATGAGCCGGGCCTTTTGATTGCCATAAATGACGTTTTTCAACGTCAGTGGTGGCGTCTGAGGAGAATTAGCAGTTTTTTGGGCAGCAAAAGGACAGCAAAATTTAATAAATAGCTCATGAGTAAAATACGCGGGAAACTTGTTTGATTTGTGCTAACCATGTTTAGGCAAGTACTAGTAATGACGTCACAACACCATCAGGTCAATTTGACAGTTTAGCAAGCCCATAAGAAACGGCTAATGTCTTCTATTTAGTTCTAAAAATTGGATATATATATAAAGAAAACACACACACACATACACAAAGTGGAGCTCAAAACTCTTTATCTCAATTTTGTCTGACTATTACAAAACCGTTCCCTCCTTTCTATCTCAAGGAAACCACTAGAACTAGCTATTGAAATCTCAGCGTTTCACGCGCCCTTAGTCAGTTAATTATGCGAGTTAACAAGCCCACATTTGCATGCAAATCAGTTCAGCTCAGTCATAACCCCATAAAGACACAAAAAAACAATTAATAACTTGACAAGGGTTAATTGAAACACGCAACTAATCAAGAAACATTCCCAATAAAACCAGACACGTTTCTTAAGACATAAGAAATCAACTTTATGACCCTTTATTAAAGTGATCGCAAAAAAATTAATAGATTAAATATTCTATTAACATAGTGAAACTATATACAACCACCACCACATTTCTACTGTTTTCTCTCCACTACCACCACCATCACCACCACCACCACCACATTTCTATTGTTTACCTGTACCACCACCACCACCACATTTCCATTGTTTCTATCCACCTCCACCACCACATTTCTATTGTTTTCACTCCTCATATTGTTTTGGTATTTAGAAGGTCACAGGTCAGACACAGGCCAATAAAGGCAACCAAAGGCCAAATAGGCCAAACGCAAATAACAAATCAATAGAAGAGAACAATAGAAATGTGGTGCTGGAGGAGGGAAACAATAGAAATGTGGTGGTGGAGTAGAAACAACAGAAATGTGTTAGTGGAGAGAAAACAATAGAAATGTGATGGTGGTTGTATATAGTTTCACTATTCACGCAGCTGTGTTGAAAAACAAAGTTGAGTCTAGGGTCGTTGTAGGGTCGACATGAGGTCGATTTTTTTGTGGATGGAAAAATATATAGAGTAAATGTGGTGGTGGAGGAGGAGAGAAAATAATAAAATTGTGGAGGAGGGAATAAAAAAATTGAGGAAGGAAAATAAGAAAAATTATGGATGAGGAGGAAAATAAAAATGAAAGGGAGTAGGGTAAGTAAAACATTGTGCGCAGTGCAAAAAAAAAACCGATAGCTTGCCTTTTTTGACCATTTTAATAGAATATTTAATCTAATTTTTTTTGCAATCATTTTAATAAAGGGTCATTTCTTCTGTCCTAAGAAACGTGTCTGGTTTTATTGGGAATGTTTACTGATTAGTTGCGTCTTTCAATTGATCTTTGTCAAGTTATTAATTGTTTTTTGTGTTTTTATGGGGTTCACTGAGCTGAACTAATTTGTATGCAAATGTGGGCTTGTTGACTCGCATAATTAACTGACTAAGGCGCGTGAAACGCTGAGACTTCAATAGTTAGTGGTTTCCTTGAGATAGAAAGGAGAGAACGGTTTTGTGATAGTCAGACAAAATTGAGATAAAGAGTTTTGAGCTCCACTTTGTGTATGTGTGTGTGTGTTTTCTTTATATATATCCAATTTTTAGCACTAAATAGAAGACATAAGCCGTTTCTTATGGGCTTGCTAAACTGTCAAATGGACCTGATGGTGTTGTGACGTCATTACTAGTACTTGCCTAAACATGGTTAGCATAAATTTCCGGCGCATTTTACACATGAGCTATTTATTAAATTTTGCTGCCCTTTTGCTACCCCAAAAGCTGCTAATTCTCCTCAGACACCACTACTAACGTCGTCAGTGCTCACAAACTCCATTTCCGCTTCGGTTCATTCAAGTTTTGTTTCAAAATTATGGTTGTTTTCTTTTCTTTCTCACCAGTAAAGAATTCCTTTCTTGGGTATTATCCGTTTCGAGATATTGCCAAGAGAAGAAAGAAGACTGTGGTTTATGTTAAACACAATCAGTTTGTGTTTAGATTTATTGAAAATCGCTCCGAGAGGAAACGTACAACATGAAAGATCAATTTCTTTGAACAAACAAAAGCGCGACATTTTGAATGTTGAATGTTGTTGGGAAGTCATGTCTCCTCCTCATAGCCGATCTTGTTAAGTGATTTTTTCCTCTTGGTGATAACAACAAAATATCACATTGTTCCTCGTAAAATTAAGGATTAATCGATACAAACCCATATTCAGTTCTCACCCCCCTAATCAAAGCAATAAACTTTGTAACCGAGAAGTCTATAAAGAATATCAGACCTAATTTCTCTTTGCATGTAATTTAACTTATAACAGAGGCTTAATGACAATGTAATGACCTTAATGTATATAATGTTAATTGAACTGAGAGGAGTGCAATTTGGTGTGAAATCATACGCGTGATTTCAAAATCGGCGAGCGCGCAGCGCAAGAGTTCGATTGAAATCACAAGTAAGCTGGTGCCTTGCTCACACGAAAGTTGCCTGGTGGATGCGCTCAGCTGATAGATCTCTGGAGCGAATGACTTTTTGCAGCTGTTACGATCTTCAATATTCAAATCAGGTTTTACGACAGTAAAAGCTCATTATAAAGCTTGATAGGCGCCTGCTGAATAAATCCAGATAATACAAATATTTGAGAACTTGGAAAATTAAAGAAAGTGGTGAAAATTATCAATTGGATGTTACTGATAATTTTTTTTTCTTGTCAGGAAAAGAATTATCGAAGTGTTAAATACGCACCTGAAATACTCCGTAACCTTGCAAAATTCTAGTTTGTGAAATTTATTCTTCTAACGCTCCAAATGTTTGAATACAATAGTGGAAGGTCAGATATTTTACTTTTTTGCGTTGGATGTTTGTCAAACTGTATGATCTGACCATTTTCTTTTTAAGGACGCAGTTTGACGTTTCAGAGGAAGTTTTGATGAACTCTAGCTGATTTCAATATGTCTTGAAACTTGAAAATATCGATGGTATTTTTCTTTTCTGAAAACTGGTGTATTGTAAGATCTTTCCTGATGAACCCCCCATATCAGATATTACTTTAATTCTTCATTCTTAAGCCAGCTATTGATGGCAAAGACTCCTACGGGACCCTTAAAAGGCCTAAACCTATGTTTATTCGAAAACGTAAGAAGTAACAAGGCTAACATTGGGACCAGGGTCACTGAATAATTAACACAGAACCGCACATTGATCGGAATTATTATTTTCTTTTATGAATAAACTAAGACTTTGATTTGGAGTGTTTGATTTATGATAAATTCTGTTTTTTAAACTTTTTGGCGTTTAAATCATATTTTGCGCTTTGAGATTGGTAAAATACGACTATACTGTAGACGTTGTTCATATTCGCAGGGCAGAGTGAACTGAACAGCCTCGTCAACACCAACATACTAAGCGTCGTTATGTATCTACAGTCACTGTGAACAATTTCGAGGGGACGATTGTCATTTTTGAACAACGCCATTGCAGAGACTGAACTTAACTACAAAGGTTTCAAAACACATGGCACCGTTTATAGTCTTATTCAGGGCGGTAGCCAGCTTTACAACTAGTTGTAGGCCTGGCTGTGAAAATTGCACGCATGACTAGTACGCACTGACCTCACCAACACTTTGAGCTCTTAAGCTTTTTAGTTAACCTCAACAACACATAATTTATTACAAGTGGTAGTGTGATCAAACCAAAAAAGAGTAGGCCCGGGCCTACAGGTCTATTGACTGGCTATGACGCCTCTGTTATTAAATGTCCAACTTTGTCTTTCATCCATGCAATGCAATTCAAGTAGGTATGTAACAATGTTAGGACAGCCAACTAATAGGGCTGTAAATAATTTTTAAGGGAGGTAATTTATCGCCCCTTATGTCCAAAGGTACCTACACGTCTGTGAAAAATGAGAGGTTGTTGGCAACAGGAAAACATAAGATTTACTTACCAAGAAACGCTGAAGTCGCAAGAAGCAATTCTTTCGAACTCTTCTGTCGTACTGAGTGAAGTAACAACGGGTTACCAATAATAACAGTGCTCAGTTTTGACGGGAACCTATATAGGATGAACAGCTGCGCAAACTGTATTTTTTCTTTTCAATTTATTCATTTTCTTAACACCGTGATATCATCAACTAACAATATTCCAAGGAAAAAAATTTTCCTCGTTATTTTCTGAAGCCTAGCAAATATGACGTGAGAAATAATTGAACTGAATTACATCAAACTCATCATGCAGTTGCTCTTGCTGCATAACTTGTCTCTCGTTTAATGTGTTTAAGAGTGATTTTCTGTAAAATTCGAACTTCGGCCTGACACGGTACCTCATCGATTTGGCTGATTTTTGGCATGTAGTCTTAGAATGGTGTCCTAAATACTGAATGCATATTCTAAGGTTCGAATTCTCGTTGGTTTCAAAGATACAGGAATGACAGTTTTGACGAGGCCTCGAGCGGCCGCCATGTTGGTGAACTGAAGGAGATTTACAGTAATTAATTCTAGCGTTATCATTAAAATAACTTAATCGTGACTCATACAGTTGCAAAGAACTATCCTTCCTCCTTTCATTTACCTACTCTTCTCTGAAAATGGTTAAGCCTGAGCTACGAACGGCTATAACTTCTCACAGCACTTTTTCGGTACTTAAACGGTACACAAATTTGGTAGAAATTGGAAGGCCAATATCACCCATGCCACATCGATTTAGACTAAGCCATTTTAACTAAACATAGTTTGTTTATAGCTAAGTTAGATTGTTGAATAAAATAATTGGGCAAATGCAGCGGAACAGAAATATGATTGCATGAATGCGCAGTGGTTCAGCCACTTGGCCGCTGAAACTTCAAAACAAAATTCGGTGAATATTTGAAAAGAAAATTCTTTAAAAATTGATCGTGCCTCTTAAACCCTATCTATCGCTTAAAAAACCCTCCCTTGTAATGTAAACAGATGATCTTTTGATTCTGATCTTGCGAAGAGCTTGAAATATGCGCTAAAATGAAAATTATAAATTTTGTTACACACGGTACTAGCTCAAGTTCGCTCTTCGATTTCCCAGATCAATCGGGAGCCGCTCGTGTACTGCACAGTTACAATTTTCTCTGTAGTATTTCGCTGTATACAACTACAAATTACATATTTTCTTAGGCAAAGATAACGCAAACGTTGTCAATTTTAATCAAAAGGCTAGAAAAACCAACCGTGCACTGTAGCTTTATGCAAATTGTATGGTATTCGATAATTACGCGTGTAAACAGGAACCTACCTTTGCTAATGTAGACTGTTTGGCAGATCTTTCCTGCGTAAGACATAAAACTAGTACATGAAATGAAATTAAAGAACTCATCAAGTCAAATTACCTGATCGTACCGTCATTACTGAATAATAAGTCCGCAAAATATGACATGGAATGATCGGTGGGAGACGAAGCTATTTTTAGGAGGACAAGCAACTGCACGCTGGAACGGAACTGAAATGAACAACCTCAATCAAGTTCAGTCTTCTTGACGCTATTAAACGTTTCACCCGAATTTGAACAGGAAGTTGTTTTCTATTTTCTTTCTCATTCTTGCATGTATTCTGCAGTTCGCCCACTATTTTTTCGTAACTTTTAATTTTCTAGCTAACTGGAACTGTTAAGAACTACCAACCCCCTCCCCCTCCCCTCTTTGAGTGAACTTTCATTCGGTCTGATTCACAATAATTTTCGAACGGTGACAAAGTGATATTTGAAATGACATTTTATTTAGTATTTTTAAAAGCTCCTTCTTTTTTTCCCGATAGCCAGGAATGTTTTGAACGTAAAGGCTCAAGTAGCGGTGTTTTTCACGACTCTGCTTGTAGACTGACCTCACCACCAGTACCACGGACATAAAATCTGATCGGAGAGGGTCATACAGTAACTGATAGGTCTCTGAAAAGCGAAATGCAGTCACTTGGGGCGAGTAGGCTATATAGATGATGAACTCATTGTTTATAACCCCATAACCGTATCCCAAAAGTCGAGCCAGCCCGGGGCGAGCGAACACAATTTTGGGGCCACTGGCCACGCCCTTATGTTTAGCGGGAAATTGGTTGATTAGTCAAATCTCCTTAACTCCACGACCATGCACCTTTCCAAATATAGTCCTTCTTATCATCATATAGTTAGGGCCTCCCGTAAGCATTTGCAACTATTTTGATTTGTAGAAGACTGTTTAACAGTTTTCATTACTTTAATGTCCCGTAAACAACACGAGGTACATGTTCTGATCTCTCCCCCCCAACCCCCATCCATAACAAAAAATTTTCAGACCAACACTGAATTGCATGAAGGTATGTACAAAAATATGACCATCTCGAGGCAAGGTTCATCACTGTAACTTACCACATAAAAGCCTTTTCGTTGTTTGCCATCGACTGATTCTGTTCTGAATACTAAGGTCCCATAAACAACGCCACGTTTAGAAAGAGCCCGCCCTTTTCAATCCAAGAAAACCCAAGTAGCGATTTCACCAACGGACATAAGCCGTAAGAAAAGGACCGCGTCAAATAGTTCATGAAATCACAAACGCCTCATGACACCTTTAATTTACTCTTTCTTCGATAAACTAATTTTTAATTTTTTAAGCATAAATGACATCAGAATGCGCGATTATGAGCATTGTAGCTTATGAAAAGAAAATTTAACACCTGATGCACATGAAAGCGTCTAAAAAGGGGACTAGGGGGAATTAGGAACATTGTGCTTACCGCTGGAGAAATATTGGCTAGTTCTTTGAATAGACTCAATTAAAGCCGTTTTTGTTCAGTAAGGAGCTGTTAGAGGGGGGGAAAGCTACATAAAGTAGATCGCATCAGAATACGGCATAGGACTAGGCTCTCAAAATCGATAAGCTGAATTCAAGACCAATTATTATGTAAAACAGAGAAAAATTCCTTGAGGGAAAAAAATTATGGCTAGGGAAAAGACCCGAAAATGGAAAGTTAGGATGGTAGCTTCTTTTCAGGTAATCGATCATTTACGTTAACTTCCGCTATCCGACGGGCATATCGGAAAGACTGAATGGATGAGAGTATAACACATTCAAGAAGAAACAAATTTGTGATTTTGCACAACTCAGTAAAATAACTAAAATTGTGTACTACTCGGTTATACAAGATTTTTGTTTTCAATTTCAGATTTTTACGATGGGGCATTAGCCCCTGTACTCACTAGACACTACTTTACTATCATCGTGTTAAAATCAGTGAAAGACTCCAAAACAATTTGGATTCCTACCCCTATACCTTTATTAAAAATTAAAGTTGGGAAGTTTGTTGTTTTCTAAAAGTAGTTTGAACAGCCGAACGACATTTTTTTACACGGAGTGGGGAAGGCAAAGCTTCACTGATCTCTTCTAAGGTAGAAAGTGGCAGCAAAACGTGAGAGTCGTCCTTGAGGGTAAAGTGTCTAACCTAATTTTCTCACCGATTGCAAGTGCCATTTCATCCACGCATAACCTCACCTAGTTAACAGAATTAACAAATGTAGTGGGGAAACGTTGCGAGAGAACTGAGTAAGATGTTAGGGTAAGTTTTGGAAATTTTCCGCACACCTGGAAAGTCCTGGCTACGCTCCTGATAGAGACTTTTGCTGGAGAGAAATTGAAACATGTTCGCTAATATAGTGACGACCAGAAAGGACAAGCCATAGGATAGTTCCATAAAACCACCCATTAAAATAGATCACGAAGTTGTCGCGGCGGAGGATGAACTTGAAGGCATCTGATGAATTGCAATTTTTCAAGGGAGCCCAGACAAGATTATGTACGATGGGCACAGCCTGTAATGTTTGATCTGGAAAATTTAGAGAAGCTCAAGGCAAATCGCTAGACAACAAATGCTAGAGCTGAACTAAAAATCTTTTGCGCCTTTGAACTCTGTCCCTAAGGGTAAAGGAGAAAGTTTCCCTTTATCAATGCATTAACCGAGTTGATTATGAATGTCTCCTTATGTTGGACGTCTTACTAACAAGCACATTACCACTACTTGCCCTCAGAGGCGTTTTTCATTTGACGAGCAGAGAAAATTAGGTTTTTTGCTGTCCCCGGCTCATCCCTCATTCTTCTTAACCCCTTCCAAACCAATTTTTCTGTTTATCAAGAATCTCCTCAAAACGGGCCTCGTGATTGAGACAAAATACCTGAAAATTGTACACGGAACCGTTGTTAACGGTGTACAAGGTAGAATGAGTCTATTCATTACTTTGCCAACGCCCAATTTTTAAAACCGGAAGTAATGATGTTTATTTCAAGGGCTCATGTCTCATGAGTTTTGAGTAAATTTTCAAACGCTGTAAACACATGTAGCTGGAAGTATCATCGCATCGATCCTCGCTCACTAATAATGATAACTTATATCAACTTCCATTATTTATTGCCTGGCTAAGATTTTCACGGATTCTTCAGTTCAGTTGTTTGAAACCAGGCGGTTTCACGTGAGTTGTAACGCCAGGCAAGGAACGTGACGACCCGCGATATGCGTGGGAAAATATTACTTTTTTTCGATCAAGGTGGAAACTGGCAACTTTGTCGTCGAGTAAGGTAATACATCTCAATTTTCATTACTATGGTTAATTTTAAAAGCTCTGGTTTCGGTAAGGGAACTGGAGGAAAATCAGGAAAATTCCAGTTCGACTGTGATGGTTGAATTTTGTTTACGCGTCATAGCACAAACATAACAAATTCATTTTTCTTTTCCTTATACAATCTGCCTTTTTTTATACTGTTTTTCGCAGCAGAGTTATCGATTATATTACAGAGGCTAATTTTATTACACAGATCACTCAGATTTAATGACAGAAACTCTATTATCGATTGTAATTTTGGCAACACCTGGCGAGTATTCGGTGTACAGATTATTGACAAAGTCGCTAGAACAGTCTTCTATTCATTACTTTTGTTTCTGCTCCGTTAAATTTGCCCAATTTTTTTATTAATGAACTCGATTTAACTACAAACAGTGAGTATTCAGGCAGATTGGCAAGCTTC